CAATTCAGTCCCTAGACTCACTAAATTTTACCCAAATTGGTTTTCCATCAACTTTATCGTCATTTCTTTGAATGGAAACTGGTCTTTCTATGAGTGCTTTTGGATTTTTTGTATGAGTGCTTTTGGTTTTTTTTTTAGAGCTGATTACCTAATGGCACCTCAAATTAACGAGATTGACCATCCAGAATTTAAAATGCCTCTACGCAAAGCTTTTGTCCATCAATTTCTGTCTAAAGAAATGACAAAGTTGACAATAGGACCAAATTGATTCTAATTGGGAGAGCTGAAAGTTTAAATTAAACAGCTAAAAAAGTTTTGCATTAAGATACACCATAGAACTTTAGATGCCAATCTTATCATGGAAGGTTTACATACATACCACTCAATTTCTATGTATATCTAACTTCAATTTTTACATATATGCCACCTTATCTATGAAAAGGTGTTCTTCACTTTTTAAAATTTAAAATAGTGATATTTTTGATGTGGTATGAAAGATTTGGGTGTTATAATGCAAAATTTGGGTGTTATAATGCAAACTTTAGGTGTTAGATATGTAAATACATAAGAAATGGGTGGTATGTATGTAAATGCCCTTTTATTATTTTCTCCAAAATTGTGTATTGGAACTACTACTTCATCCATCTCCCTTTTGAATCTTGATATGTATCCTTATAACATATTGTGTTCGTCTAAAACTTTGAAAATGACTAGACACATCTCATTTTCTCTCTTTCATCTAAATCAATGTATTATCCAGCAAGATGAAGAACTGCTGCTCGCTAATTTTCATACTCCTACCATCACCAGCACCACATACCCTTTACCTAAAATATCACACAATTTGGGATTAAAAAAAATTCCATTATTATTCAGACAAACATTATTTGTTTTGATTTGGATTTTTATTGATATAAATTTCATTATTGATGTGGTATGAAAGATTTGGGTGTTATAATGCAAAATTTGGGTGTTATAATGCAAACTTTAGGTGTTAGATATGTAAATACATAAGAAATGGGTGGTATGTATGTAAATGCCCTTTTATTATTTTCTCCAAAATTGTGTATTGGAACTACTACTTCATCCATCTCCCTTTTGAATCTTGATATGTATCCTTATAACATATTGTGTTCGTCTAAAACTTTGAAAATGACTAGACACATCTCATTTTCTCTCTTTCATCTAAATCAATGTATTATCCAGCAAGATGAAGAACTGCTGCTCGCTAATTTTAATACTCCTACCATCACCAGCACCACATACCCTTTACCTAAAATATCACACAATTTGGGATTAAAAAAAAATCCATTATTATTCAGACAAAGATTATTTGTTTTGATTGGGATTTTTATTGGTATAAATTTCATTTGTTAAAATAACCATATTTATCCAGGGTCAAGGTTATGTCACCGCGGAAGAGGTTGAAAAAAGGCTTTTTTGGTCGTCTGGTCGTGCCATGGATACCCTGGAGACTCTTCTGAAGGTCAGAATCTCATCTTTAAATACTAGAATTTGCATCTTATACTAATTTTTGTAAAAATTTGGCAATTCAGGAAGGTCTGTCCATGATTGATGACGGGCATAGAGACGGCAAGCGACGATATTGGTTCCCCTGTGTTGCTTCGATTTCTGTCACGACTGGACTGATCGGTTGAGGAGCTGAGGCTTTCAGATTTCACTCTTGAAGACTATAAGCTGACAGTTATTAGACTGGAAGCAAAAAATCTTGTCCTTTACTCGTAGACTCCAATAAATTAAATACGCCATTAACAGTTACCTTCACTATTGGTTCAGATCTACCACCATCTCGAAAAAATTGAGGAAAAAGCTCAGCTCTCTCATAAACAATTTTATCCATCATAATGAAGTGATGAAAGATGCATACTTTAGTTTGGATTACTTTCACCAAATCCAAAGAAAATGGTGGACTGGGTCTTCTCAATATTGATATTTTAAACTTCATATGCAAATCCAAAGTCTTTTGTATCTATCAGATCGGTGCAACGCTAATTATGATCCCCTATGGTACAATATGAAGCTCACAATTTCCACTTTTTGAAGTGAGTTTATGCAAGTGACTACCAGAATTAGGGCGTGCTTTTCTTTTCAAGTTAACTGCAAAAGTAATTTATATTTCTCTTTTGATCCTTGGTTGAATGGTGTATCTTTTTATGAGTTTTTTTGGGAATCACTTTTTCTCATGGTTTTCCCATTCATACTAAACTTTTTGATATTATTACTGACAATGCTTGGCTCCTTTCTGCTAATCCTAGTGCTTTGGATTGTTGCTGGCAATTTATTCTCAACAGCCTCATTGAAGAACAATATTACATATGGCAAGGTAAAAACTGCTACTCTTATAAAGCTGTGTATTTTTTTTCTTATAAGGATTTTCCTAAAAAATATTGGAGAATATACATTTGTTTCAAAGAGCATGCAATCATGCTTGCTACTATTATGTGAAAAATTTTAAGAGGGATTAAAAACATACTATATTTATTTTAATAAAGGGCTCCAAGTAAGTCATCATTGTGTTCCATGCCGTTCTTTAATTGAATCTTAGGGTCTGTTTGGGGCACCTGCAGCTTATTTACAAGGAGACTACTGATAAACAACTTATCCTGATA